GGTGAGCTTGGAATCCTGGATTGCCTGTGACGTTTGGCTTTGGAATCGGACACTTGGTTGAGGTCACTCCTGACCTGCTTGAGGTCTGAGGCCGCCCAGCCCCAGCTCCCTTCCTAATGGCTGCCAGACCCTGTGGCCTGCACCCAGCCTTCCCCGGGGCCTGCCTGCTTCCGGGACAGGGCATGTTTCTTGGGTCCCATTTCCTGCTAGCAGAGCATTGAAGCCTTGTGGAGTAGGGGTTCTCAGATGAAAATTTTAGGTTTCCTGCTAGGCCAATATTGGGTGTCCTTAGAAATAATAGAAGAAAAAAACAGAGGCAGGAGGCTCTCTCTGAGTTTGAGGCCAGTCCGGTCTACATAGTAAGTTCTAGTCCAGCTAGAGCTACTTTTTTTTTTTTTTTTTTTTTTTTAAGTGTCTCCCTGTGTTCTTCAAAAACTGTGTTCCTTAAACCTCACACTGGCCCTGGGGCGGAGGGGCTCTACCTTACAGAGGCTAATGGACTCTATCTCTTCCCTGTAGGACCCGAGGGGCTCCGTGTGGCTCCAGTAGGCTCAGCCTTCCCGATGTGCTCCACCTTAAGCACCAGGGACAGGGAAGAGCCCAAATGGAGGGGAAGCGCTGTGAGCAGGCGGCTTGCTTCCAAGGAATCTCGAGAAAACAAGAGGACATGGCTCCTGTAGCACGAATCTTAAAAGGTCTTATTAATGAAAATAAACCTGGAGTCCTTAAGGTATTGGGGTGAACGCTGGAAGACCAGAGAAGCAGAACAAGCCACAGCTAACCTCACCTCGCCAATTCCTCAGCTGATCCTGTTTCCTCAGACTGGAAGCTTCTGAGTCCTCATCTGAATGGATCTCAGCTGAACTGCTGCTCCAAAGCCTGAAAGCTTAAACAGCCTAGTTCCTGGTTTTCATGCCTTGTATACCTTTCTGCTTCCTGCCATTACTTCCTGGGATTAAAGGTTTGAGTCACCATGTCTGGCTGCAGTGTGGCTTTGAACTCACAGAGATCTGGATGGATCTCTGCCTCCAGAAGGCTAGGATTAAAGGTGTGAGTGCCACCATTTTCTGGCCTCTATGTCTGTCTAATGGCTGTTCTGTTCTCTGACCCCAGATAAGTTTATTAGGGTGCACAATATATTGGGGAACATGATATCACCACAGGGTCCCTTCTAGCAGACTTCCTGGTACTTTTCTTCTCTCCTAACCTTCTGGACTGGCCAAAGGATGAGAGTCTCAGTAAACCACAGAGGGCTAGGAAACGCCTGGGCCTGAGTAGCCCTGAGCAGACTCACAAGCTTGGGCCTCTTCCGCCGTTGCTTCTCCTGAGCCCTCTTTATAGCCCTGTGACCACGGTGGGGGTGCTTTGCTTTCCAGAGTTCTCTCTCACCCTTGGTACCATGCTTGAGAGCTTCTAGGCATCCTACTCAGCATCAGATGCCAGAGGACTGCAATCCGGGTTAAGGGATAGAGGATGGCCTTGACCCACTTGCTGCTGCTGCTTCTTCTTCTTCTTCTTCTTCTTCTTCTTCTTCTTCTTCTTCTTCTTCTTCTTCTTCTTCTTCTTCTTCTTCTTCTTCTTCTTCTTCTTTTGTTTTTCGAGACAGGATTTCTCTGTGTAGCTTTGGAGCCTCTCCTGGAACTCGCTCTATAGACCAGGCTGGCCTTGAACTCACAGAGATCCGCCTGGCTCTGCCTCCCAAGTACTGGTGAGTGCAGGGGACCTAGAAGCTCTGCTCAGGAGGAAAGCTCTGGGGGGTTTGTCTGCTGGTTCTGAGACAAGTTCTCAAAGCCTAGGTGGATCTGGCGTGCTGGAATCCAGACATTATTCACCACGGCTCCAGGCTGGACAAGCCTCTGGTTTTTATTTGTTTTTAAGGATTTATTTAACTTTTAATTCTCTCTCTCTCTCTCTCTCTCTCTCTCTCTCTCTCTCTCTCTCTCTCTCTCTGTGTGTGTGTGTGTGTGTGTGTGTGTGTGTGTGCGCGCGCGCGCGCACATGCCTACAGGTCACAAGAGATCATCCCTCCCCTGGAACTGGAGTTACAGGTAGCTGTGAGACTCAGCCCACTTGGATGTTTGGAATCCTCAAACTGAAGTTCTCCCCAAGAGCAGTCAGTACTTGCTCTTAACCACCCAGCCATCTCTCTGGCCCGGGGACAAGCCTCGTACCTGGAGCTAGTCCACTCCTGATGGTCCCAGCACTTCTTGTTGGCAGAGAGTCCCTGAGGCAAAGTGACCAAGCATGCACAGACCACAGGGGAGCCTCGGCCTGACTTATCGCTACGCTCCTGTAAGGCAGCTGGGTCTCAAAGTCCTTAGAGAGGGCTCAGAGGCTTCCGGAGAGAAATCTGCCCGCTGGAACAGACTGGAAAGCGGGCAGCAGCTCCAGGTAGTCCCTCTAACCCACCCCACCTCCCACCCCCACCTCCCACCCCACCCCCAGGCTGGTTTCGGGAAGCTCTCCCAATGAATATTTAATAGCTAGTGCTGGGCCTGATTGAATTTTAATGTGGGCGACCCGAGCCCTGGAGCCCAAGTCCAGGCAATTAGTCAGGAGCCATTAACGATGACTGAGCTGATTTATCGGCCAGACAAGGCCTGGGCTGGGGGAGCTCAGGCCTGCAGCAGCCCAGGATTGGGGCACAAGGTCTTTGGTGTCAGCCAATCGCCACAGCCATCACGACCTGCTTTGCATCTCATTCGCATAGCATCTCCCGAGGGTAGACATCACCGGAGGCCCGTGGGGGAGGAGGTGCATGGCTGGAGCTGGACCCGGGCTGGGTCGTTCCCTGCTCTGACGACAAGGGCCACTCCTGAAAAACCACTGTGTTACATATGGGACTCCATCCGACCATGCCGCGGTTCCCTGGGTCTCCCCTCTACCCTGCGGGGGCCTAGGTAGGAGAGAATTACAAAAAACGATGCTGGTCTGCCGGGGGACAGCAGAGCAGAAACTCCCAGCCTCAACAAAGGAAAGGACTCTGCTCGTAAAAGGCAACGCATTGAACCCTCACTCCAGGCCCACGGGGCTGCCCTCCTTTCCGCCCCGCCCACCCTTAGCTTCCGCCCTGGTGGGGGTTGGGAGTGTGGGTTTTCAGGGTGCTCGGCGGGCGGCGGCGATGCCAGGGATGAAGGCACCAGGCTCTTGGAAGAGAAGGACCTCCTCCCGTGGCGTGCCTCCTCCCATTCCCTCATCCCCCTGACCTGTGTGAACAAGCTGGGATTCAGCCTGGAGTGCTCTATTGAACTATGCCCGACCTCTTAAATCATAGGTCAAGGATTTAGCTGGCCTGTCGGCTGCCACTCTGGCAGGTGGCCTCCTCCTTAGGCCCCCACCCCCACCCAGCCCTTGTCCAGTGGGCATGTGGAGAGAGGGTAGCCTTCCTTCTGAGGCCTGTGGCCTTATGGTGCAGGGCTCATCTGGTCTGGGTTGGGAGAGCCTGGTAGCCAACTCTGTAGGGGAGGTGCACCCTGGGATCGGGAGGCTAGGGAAGGCTCGGCTGGGAGTGGGAGACCGTAGTCTGGGAAGTCTTCCTGGAAGAAGGAGGGCAAGCAGGGACTGGAAGGAAGGGAGGGACACAGCCATGCCAAAGGACAGGGACAGGAAATCCTCTGCAGCCAGAATACTGCCGCAAACAGGATACAGCAAAGCGAAGCCCGGCAGGCCTCCCGTGCAAGTGTGGTTGGCACCCTGGCCGCAGCAGGTGGGCACGAGGCTGTCGCAAAGGACGAGGAGAACATCACCTCCGTTTGATGAGCACCTACTTACTGCCCTGGGCACTGGAGCACATCAAACATGTCCAGCCTGTGTCCCACTGGCTGCTGGGGTCCCGGGACGGCTTTGAATGTGGCCCAACACGTTTGTAGAGGGTACCGTCACCTCGCAACATCAGAAGGTTGGGTACCTCCTACTAGAGACCCAACCCGGTACGATTTCTCAGAATTCCCATTTTCCAATGGAGTGCTTGTAATTCCAGTACCCAGGAAGCGGAGACAGGAGGATTACAAACTCCAGGCCAGCCTGGGCTACATAACAAAACTAAGTTCTAGAAAGTGCCCATTTTCCAGATGAGGACACTGAGGCAAGAGAAGAGTTGATGCACTCCAAGTCACACAACTGAAGGATGGCAGAGCCCCCGGCCCTGTCTTCCACCTCAGACTGCTCACGGACACCTCAGGCTCAACTCCATCCTCTCACCTGCAAGGTGAGTACCTCCCATCACGTCACCTCTCTCCCTCCGTAAGCATTGGCAGAAATGCTGTACCTTTGACGGGTACCTGAGTGGCACTATCATCCACGCTTTCATGCAGGTGTGAGTCCCTGGTGCCATCCATCTGTACAGCTCCGCAGTCCACTCCTCAGGTTTGCGGATGCTCACCCTTCTCCTCCCTCCCCTTGCTCGAAGCTCAGGCCATCCTTACCCAGGCCGGATGAAGTACCCCTCACCAAGTACCGGGCACTATGCCTGGAAAACCCATTCATTTTCTCAGCGGGGCCTCTCCAGGGCTCAAGGTAAGTCCTGCTCCCTGGAGTCTCCATGCCGCAGAGAGTGGGGGGGGGCAGGAGAGAGGAGCGAGTAGACACCCCCAGGTGATCTTGGCCTTGTATCAGGCAAGGGCAGGAAGCAGACCTCCCTCCACCCAGCAGCTCTTCAGGGCATGGTCTCCTTCTCCATGTCCACTGAAGCCCACCAGTGGCCAGGCTGGGGCTGTGTCCTCCTTCTGTGTGCACAGTCTTCTCTGATAAAGAATTCTGTTCCTCAGGATGCTTGGGATCCTAGCTACAGAAGACTCTTTAAACGTTTCTATGGATACCTTTTGGGATTGGAGTGATGGCTAAGTGGTTAAGAGCACATACCGTTCTTGTAGAGCACCTGGGTTCACTTTCCGACACCCACATCTGGCCGCTCACAATTGCCTGTAACTCCAGCTCCAGGGCCTCTAATGTCCCTCTGTCCTCTCCATTCATGCCCGCATATAAATAAATAATAAAAATACTTTTAAAGTGTCTACTAATAATGTTTATTATAGATCTGCCGAGGGTGTGCCTGTCTCCACCCCCACAGCACTGAGATCATAAGTGTGCTGCCATTTTTGGAGTTTTTAGGTGTGTTCTTATGGTTAACGTGGGTTCTTAATCACAAAGTAAGCCCTTCTCTGCCTGAGCGCTCTCTCTCTCTCTCTCTCTCTCTCTCTCTCTCTCTCTCTCTCTCTCTCTCTCCAGCCCTGGCCACTGGCTTTATAAAAATAATTTATGTGATGTACAATGTACAGACTGAGAAACTGATGGATTTTGACACATTTGTACCTGGCAAGCCAACCATTACCATCAAGAAGCAGAACTGGCATCAGAAAGTCCCCTGTGCTGGATCCCACCCTGTTCTCATCACTGGTGTGCTCTCCCTCTGGGGAGCTTTGCCTGTCCTAGGCCTTTCTGTGATGGGATGGTGTTGAATGTCATCTTTTGTGTCTCTGAGTCCAGACTCTGGTCTGCGGTCCATCTGCTTTGTAGAGTCCATTTTGATCCAAGTAGGATTCCATTCCAGGAACATTCCACCATATTTCCTACCATCCTTTCCATGTTGGTTTGCGTTGGTCTCCCTGGCATCTCTGAAAGTCACGTGGGAGATGCTGCAGTTTCAGACAGCCCCTGTAGATAGCAATGTCCAGAGGCCAGGGAAAGCACTCTTTTCTGGCCTCTTAGAATCTTTCCAAACATTCTCAAAAAAAAAAAAAAAAAAAACATCCCATGTCTCTTAGACCCAAATCATGCCTCATGTCCCTCTGCAGCCCAGATGCGGGCGGAGAGATTGGATTTCATGGAGGTGCCTCAGAGAGATTAATACTCATCTAAGGTGGGCTAGGGACCCAGCTTCCACTAAAGAACATGACATCCAGGGCTTGGAGCAGATCAGGGGAAAGGAGGCATATTCGGGTCAACTGCTCTATACCTTCTCACCATGGATGATCCCCCTTGAAGAGAGATGTCTGTGTTTTCATTCCAGGAGCAATGGCCACACATGTCTGTCAGTACTGGTCTCCTATTTCTCCAACAAGAGACAGTGAAGGACTTTGTGAACATCTAGCATCCATTCTCCACTACGCCTTAAAGAATCAAAACTCTGTGTTGTCAAGATGGCTCAGTATGTAAGGGAACTTGCTGCCAAGCCTGATAACCTGAGTTCAGGCTCCAGAATCCTCGCGGTGGAAGAGAAACTGACTCCAGATGTCCTTTTACTCCACAGGCATGAACACCCGCCCCCCCCCACCCCCGCCCAACACACAGGCATGAGCACCCCCCCACCCCCCGCCCAACACCAGGCATGAACACCCGCACACACACACACCCGCCCAACACACAGGCATGAGCACTCCCCCCGCCCTGCCCAACACACAGCATGCACACTAATTGCAGGAAAAGAATGAGAGAGGGTGTGCGTGTGGTGCCACAGGGTAGCAGAGGCTGTTAGGAGAGTGGGACCCTGGCAAGGAGCAAGGGTCCTTTCATTTTTGCCTACTTAGAGTTACAACGTGGATCTGGAACTCCACCCGCTACTCTGGGATCTGAGGTAAATTTGAGAATAAGATCTTGAGATGGGTAGCGCCTGGGTTCTGGTGGGGTTACCACACCAGCATTTCCCACCTCCAGATTTCTTCTATGTGAGAAAGAATGCAAATCGCCCTGAGTTTAGCTAACGTACCCAAGTGAGCCTGGACCTAACACAGGACCCAAGAGGGAAGCACAGGGTATCTCTGGGTAGGGTTGTGTTGTCCTAGAAGAGGATATCTGGGAAGAATGCTGGGTAGCCACAGCAGGACCAGAACTGCACCAGCCTCTTTGTGACGGTTACAGTTTGAAAGTGAAGTGTACCCTACAAGGGTCCCTGTGTGGAGAGGTGACTGAATCATGACAACAGTAACCATAGTGGAAGAGGTTTTAGGAAGTAAACAGGTCCCTGGGGAGTGTGTCTTGGAAGGGTACATCCAGTTCCTGGCCTCCTCCTGACTCTCTTACTTCCTGTCCACTGTGGAGTGAGCACACACTCCAGCACATACTTCTCCCCGTGATCTTCTTTCCCCTGTAGCTCCCGTAGAAACAATCGAGCCCAGTTACCACAGATAGTCTCTGAAGTTAGGAACCCAAATAAATGTTCTTTTTTTCCCTCTAAGTCATTTGTCTCTGAGATTTTTGTCACAGTGGTAAAAGTGACTAACACAGTGACCTTCGGGGGCCATCCAGAGACCCAGGAAAGATGAGGAGGGTGTCACCCTGCAGCAGCCACTGTTCCTCAAGACTGGCGTGACAGACTGTTTCACCGACTCTAAGCAGTACATTCGATCACATTTTTTGCTTTATTTGTTCTAAGACAGGGTCTCTTGCTGCAGCCAAGGCTAGCTTAGAACTCTCCTGTGGTCAGCAAACTTGTGGCAATCCTCCTGCATCAGCAATCTGAGTGCTGGGATTTAGAGGTGTGGGCTATACCACACCTGGTTTCCTTCAAGCACTTTTAAAATCAGTATACATCTTATATTCAGTGGCCTCTTACTCTGTCACCTAGGCAGCTGGCCACCCTTCCTGCATGTGTGAACTTGGTGCCTTTCCTGGAATCACAAAAGGACAGTTAAAAACTGTGACATTCTAGTCCCAGCTCAGCACCATCCTTTTGAATGGGGCGAGCATTTCTGTCATGAGGAAACAGGGCTGAGAGACCGAGACCCTGAGGACAGACAGTACCAACCAGGAGCTGAGGTCTGCCACCAGCCATGGGAACGACCTTGGAAAATGATTCTCCAGTCCCTGGCAGGGCAGCTTATGTGCGACCTCCCAAGGGACCATGATGAGCCAGAACCAGCCAGCTGAGACGCCTATGTTCCTGACCCTTAGGGAATAAAATGTTTGGAGCTGGAGAGATGGCTCAGTGGTTAAGGGCACTGACTGTTCTTCCAGAGGACCCAGGTTCAGTTCCCAGCACCTACATGGCAGCTCACAACTGTCTGCAACGCCAGTTCCAGGGGATCCAACACCCATGGCAAAGCACCAATGCACATAAAATAAAAATAAATAATTAAATGTTTGCTGTTTTGGAACAACTTTTTCTTTTTTGTAGTTTTTTGTTTTGTTTGTCTGTTTGTTTTGAGACAGGGTTTCTCTGTGTAGCAGCTCTGGCTGTCCTGGAACTCGCTTTGTAGACCAGGCTGGCTTCCTGACTCACAGAGATCCACCTGCCTCTGCCTCCTGAGTGCTGGGATTAAAGGCGTGTGCCACCACCCAGCAATTTGGGACAACTTTTTACCCAACAATGGAGACAATACTGAAGTGTGTGTGTGCTTCAGAAATGTCCCGTCACCCATTTCATCTATCGTGACGGTTCAGAGGGGAATCTGTGTGAAAAGATCGGCAGTACAGAGTTTAAAATGATTCCAGGAACCAAGCTCTGAAGGTGAGAAAGCTTTTTCTTTTACTTATTTCTTTTTGTTTCTGAGAGCTGGGGATGGAAGTCAGAGCAGGGAAACTCTGTCTCAAAAAAAGAAAAAAAAAAAAGGAGGTGAGAGCTGAGAGCTGAAGAGATGGTTCAGTTATGAGGGCCTGGGTTCAATTCCCAGCACCTACATGGTGGCTCACAGCTGTCTATAATCCCAGTTCCAAGGGTCTGGTCTCTGGTCTCCCCAGGCACTGTATGCAGGTGGTACACAGACATATAATAAGGCAAAACACCCATACACATAGAAAAAGGGAAAGAAGAAAAAAAATGGCCGAGCTGGCTCAGGGGCTAAAGAGGATTCCTGCCAAGTCTGTTGACTTGAGTTGATTCCCAGAGACCCACTTGGACTCTGAAAATTTACCCTCTGACCTCCACACACATGCTGTGGCATGAACATATTTACCCACTTGGTGGTGGTGGTGGCGGCGGCGGCGGCGGCGGCGGCGGCGGCGCACGCCTTTAATCCCAGCACCCGGGAGGCAGAGCCAGGCGGATCTCTGTGAGTTTGAGGACAGCCTGGGCCACCAAGTGAGTTCCAGGACAGGCTCCAAAGCTACACAGAGAAACCCTGTCTCGAAAAACCAAAATAAAATAAAATAAACAAACATATAAAATAAATAAATGCTTTTTTTAAAAATGCATGTATGGATAAGGCTGAAGGGCGCTGTGGCTGGAGATGTAGCTCATTGTTAAAGCCCTAGATTCAGTGTCCAGCAACGGGGTAAGTGGGGGCGGGGCATGCTCCGTTTATTTTTAAAAGTCTTTTCAATAAGTGATATGGAATCCCAGTCAGTAAATTGTTTTTTCTTGCCAATAAGCATAAAGTAGTTGTGCTTTTTAACAGCGGTGGCACCTAGTGGGATGCATCACAGTCACGTGTTTGTTTTATAGGACAGGCCACTGAGGGGAGTTTGCTGGGCCTTGCTGTGTAGAAACTGCGGTGGAGGAAGAAGTGAGTGAGGGGCTGTGAGCCGGTCAGAGAAGGGTTGGTGGGAGACAGCTCAGAAGTCTTTAGAGAATCTTCCGATAGGGTGTTATCTGTCACTCATTTTGTATGGGCGTGCGGGTGAGTGGGGACACACGTCCTGGGGACTGAGTTTGGAGATTCTCTCTTGCTAAGGGGTTCTATCACTAGGCTAACATCCCCGGCCCTAGTAAGAGTCTGCTGGCTGTCTTGGAAACGCATTTCTCAAACAAAAATAAGGCATGAGACCGACGATTTTTTTGTTTCAGCTTTTATTTGCCCCCAGACCTTTCCGGGTTTGCAGAGTCCTTAGGACGGCTTTCCTGGGAATATAAGGTAATATGGAAACCTACAGAGGGGACCTTCCCCATGGCCAGCAGGTGCCTCTTCGTACCCCATCCCCGGGGGTGGGGGTGCGAATGTTGCCCTGAGCAGGAGTAGGGTAGACCTGCTTGGGGCGGAGTCAAGCGTGGGTCCAGAGGCTCAGCCTTCAGCCAACCAATGAGAAGGCCGAGGGACAGAGTGTCAAGGCACAGGGCGTTAAGTCCACAGGTCAAGGCAGACCAGTGCTTGGGTGATTGGTCTGATTCCAAAGCCAGGGGCGGGTCGTGGTAGCGATCTAAGTCTCCCTTGGACAGTCAGCGGGTTAGCAGCGGCCTTCTGAAGAGGCGGGGCCGCCTGTGTCTTGTCGGCGTGGACCGCACAGCCACCGCCCCCTCCCAGCGCTGTGCACCCCACTTCCTGTTCTGAGACAGCTGCAACCTGACCCAGGGCTCAGTGGAGGTGGGTTCCTGAAACCTCCGTGCTCAGAATCCCCAGAGGTCCCCACTCTCTCTGCAGATGCGGCTGGCCACAGGGCCACCACCGGCGGGTCTCTTGGGCCAGTTTGGGAGGGCTGCGTTGAAGGAGATGCCGGGCAGCAGGCAGAGGCCTGGGCTGGGTGGCTCCTCAAGCCAAGAGGTATTCCAGCCTCCCCCGAAAATGGACCACAAAATTCTCATCAAGATTTTGCTTCTGGGCCAGTGAGACGGTTTAGCAGGTAAAGGTATTTGCTGCCAAGCTTGTCCTGAGTTCCATTCCTGGAAGGGTCCTCTGACTTTCTCACGAGCACTGCGAGACACACACACACACACACACACACACACACACACACACACACACACACACACACACTGAACTTTTGAGCTCATTAGCTATGGTGACATTCAACTATAATTCCCGCCAGCATTCAGGAGGCCGAGGCAGGCAGATTGCTCTGAGCCTAAGGCCAGCCTGGACTGCAGAGTGAGTTCCGAGCCAACGTGAGCTAAACAGAGCAGCAGCCTGGCAGCTTTTGAACCTAACAATAGTGGCCACTCAGCACTTTCCAGAGTGCTTCCGCACGCCATATTATTTGAGCACCACCGCTGTTCCTAGGGGAAGGGGCTGGAGCCTTCCCTGTACCTGAGTTCTGCTCCTTGCCTCACAGCTGCTTCAGCGGCTACTTGGTTTCCTCGAGACGGTATCTTTCCATTAGACTGGTTATCTACGTAGATCAGGCTGGCCTCTGAGCTTGCAGTGGTCCTCCTGCCTCTGCCTCTGTGGTGTTGGGGTTACAGGCGTGCACAAGTCTATATGGCTTCTTGTACTGCCGTCTCTCCAAGCGCCCCTGAGCTTCTCTGGGGTCTTTCTCTAGTCTCAGGAAGGAGCACCCGTGGGCATGGGTAGACGCTCTCTACTAGAATCTGGAGTCTTTCGAGGCCCATCTTGGTAGGTCCACTCCTTATTTATTTTCCCAAGACCCTCTCTTTCATGATTTGTGACAGGGTCCCAAACCCCAGGGCTCAAGCAATCCTCCTGTCTCGGCCTCTGGAGTAGCTGGGATTGCAGACATACACCGCTGATTTAGGTTCTTCTCTGTTACCCTTCAATAACTTTCAAACTTTTGGAAAATGACTGCTACAGTTGCTTCCCGCGGACCAGCTGTCTTCCTGGACTTGTACTATTCCAGGTGTGGAAGGGGCTAGAGCTGCTCCAACTGGGCTATGCATGTAGGACCTGGAGGTAGCTCTGTTGGGGCCCAGGGAACACAGAACCACGGCACCAAGGCACTATGGCACTATGGCACCCCAGACTGGGCAGGGTTGGCTCCAGCTCCTCAGGCTTCGCTCAGCCCCTCCCCTCTTTGAGGCTGGAGGAGGGAGTGGAGGGCTGGGTTAGGAGGGAGGAGGCTAAGCAGGAGGAGCGTCCACTACATTACTGGATGTCTTAAGTACAACCAGATGTACTGGGACTTTACAATCAGGCCCAGCCCCAGAGGGCAGAGCAGGGGCAGGGGACCTTCCATGCGAACTCGTTTTCTAATTCCTCACCCTCTCCTGCGTTTGTAAACTTTGAAAGAGAGGAGAGACTTCCTGTGGGTTTCCAGGGGCTGGTGTGTTAGGGGGGGGTGGATCCTGCCTCTGGACGGAGGGGGCAGGCTCTAGGAAGCAGAGATCTGGACTCCATCTCTAGAACCTAGTGAGGGAAAGAGCTGGGAAGTGTGCCGAGGCTCTGCAGGGTTTCACAGGGGAAAACTCAATGGAGTCGGGTTCTGACGGCTGAGTAGGGGTGGGAAAAGAAGATCCGAGGCTCAGGGATTCGCAAGCGTGCAAACAGTGTGGGTGTTACTGAATTCTGTGGGACTGGAGGTATAAAGTGGGATCAACTCTAGGTGCTGGTGCAAAGGCTGTGCTGTCGGGTGGGGTGGGAGGGAAGCCTCTGTTTATGCAGCAACAGAAGTATCTAGAGTAAATTGAGGATTTTGAGTATGGGGTGCCAGGGTCCCCTGAGTTAGGCTCAGGGAGGCGAAATGGAATGAGATCTCCTCTCCAAGTCTTGAGTGGCCTAACATAGAGCTGGATCTGAAAGGAAAGCATGCATTTTCTAATTCCCACAGAGGCTCCCAGAGACTCTCGGGCTGGCTGTGGGGGTGCTGGCCCAGACCCATCCTGGGGAGGGGAGTCTGGGGGGGGGCAACACAGGACAACCAAGCTGGTGTAAGTGTAAAAGCAGCAGTGGGGGAGGGGCATGGGTGGGAGGCTTTGGCATCTGGGCCTTGATGGTCAAACCCCCAAATCCCAAAAGGCTGGCACTTCCATTTGTGGACAGAGCGGCCGGAGCCCAACCACAGGCAAGTTCGGGCAGCAGCTGGTGGGGTGTGGTGTCCTCTGGGCACACTCCCTGTCCCCTCAGCCAGGACATGCTTCCTTCCTTTCCTGCCCACAGTGACTCCTGAGAGGCCAGCCGAGGACCACAGAGAGAGCACCCTCCCTTTCCTCTTCCTCTCTTCCATTTCTTTCTGCTTCCTCCCTCCACCCATCCTGCCCTGGGGCCTTTTTCTTTCCTTCCTCACCCCACCTGCTCCTGCCTTCTCTGGGTCTGCCTCCCCTGCCCCACGCCCCCAATCTAAAGCCCTTACAAGTGGGTGTAAGGCATTCTGCATGGTTTTGGAAAGCCCTTGATGCCTACCTATATCTGGACCAAGATGTCATCCGCTCATTCCCACATACACTTAGGCCCCGTACCGTGCACACACACACACACACCCTCACATGAAGTTGCTGGCATCCAGCCATACACCAAGCACAGCCCCTGCTTCTGGGATGGGTCGCAGTGGGTCCTCCGTCTTGGAAGTGATGGGAGCCAAATGACTGCAAGAGGGTGGCAGGCCTGGACGAGCATCAGCCATCATTACCACTATTATTATCCAATCCATTGTGGGCACTTGACCTGCCCTGGGAGGCTCTCAGTGACCTCCGCGGGGGGCTTGCGGGGCACAGATCCCTTGCCTGAGGGCAGTTAGAAGAGGGGTCAAGCAGGAGCCCTCAGAGATTAGCCCCCCCAGAAAGGCCAAGAATAGAGATATGATGAAAGGCCATTTGCCAGGATCGGCTGTGTGTGTCAGCTTCGGGGTGATGTATTAACAGGACCTTAATGAGCCCGGGGAAGGAAAGCAATACTTCATTGCCTGGGCAATGGGACAGGGTGTAGGGGAAGGAGGCAGCGAGCAGGGTCCCCCCACCTGCTAACTAAAGCCCTTACTGTGTGACCCATGGCCATGGTACTGTAAGTTATGGCCTTACCTGTGGAGCCTGGAAGGCTTCTGCAGCACACTGAGCATCCCTCTGAGGCGCGAACAAGCTATCCTGAGATTCCAGCACTGGGAGGCGTTTGTCTTTAGGCAGACATGAACAATCCTTCAAGCTGGATGCCTCAGATGAAGCCTCCTCCTGCCACCGTCTCATCCTGGAACCTGGTGCGGTCTGGCCCCGGAGACACCCCATCAACAAGGCCAGCCAGGCTTGGCATCCCGGGACAGTTCCAGATGACTGAGGTATCTCAGCCCCTGTGGACACTGGCCTCTTAAATCTGCCTCTGGCCCTCAAGGGAGCCTACAAGAGCCGAGCTGGGGGTAAGGAGAATGGGGGTGCAGGGGTGCCAGGTCAGGCTTTGCTGAGCACTCTCAGACTGGCCACAGATGCCCAACAGGAAAGAAGGACCTCAATCAGGAAGCTCCTCATTTTTGTCTCAGCTCCCGACCTGCTGGCATGGTGACCCTGCCTTTATGATTATGATACTAGGGACCTGACCCAACACTCTTGAGTCTTAGCACATCCCTGACTTGTGTCAGAGTGTGTGGGTGGAGGTATGGGGTAAGAATGGAGAGCTGCGGTACAAACAGGAAAATTCTGGGGCTTGATGAGTTTCAGAACTTTGTTGGATGTTGGTTTTATTTCCATATTTAGACTATGAGGGGAAAAAAAAGGATGATTGGTGGCCTATACCTTCCCTTCCCCTGGCATCCACGAAGCTGCCCGGGTCTATGGGATGCCAGAGTGTCTGGAGGCATGGTCACTGGTGGAGGGATCAGACAGTGTTTAGAGTTCTGCGACTCAGAGGCCAGAGGCCTGTTCTGCAGGTTGGAGGAAGGCCCTCCAGGGTGAATCCTGTCCTGCAGATGCTCATGCTGACCAGGCACCCGGAAGGAAAAGGAAGGCCCAGAAGAGAGGCAGAGCCCTGAAGCACTACCCATGGGTGGGAAATGACTGTCACAGATCCTCCAAACGCTCCGGGCTCCTCCAGAACCTCCACCATAAGCGCTGCAGCGCCTGTGCTCACGAGGGAGGCTTGGCCTTTATCACTACCGCAGCTCCGAGACGCCTGCCTAGAACTGTGCCTCCTCTAGACCAGGAGCGCCAAGGCCTGGCACAATGCAGTTGTCTAGTAATGCCACTGGTTACCAGCGGTGGCTGGGACTCCTTCAGTCCGCGCCGGTGGGCCCAGGGTGACCATCGATCCCTTGGGGAGCTCTCCAGAACGACTGACCTTTTATAAGTCCCACCCCTGAGTCCGATCTTCAATCCTGGGCTCGGTCTCCTTCCTGTACACTCCCCACCCCACTTGTTCGGTGGCACCTGTGTAGACAGTGCCCTCGCCTGGCTGTCGGGCCTGCCCTGGGCATCCTGCACGCTGTAGGTGGCTCTGCGGACCCGGGCCAGGGACGCAGGCGAGAGTCCACAGGAGTCCTGTGGTCTTGGCCAGCCAGCGGACGGGGCGGGCCTGGCCAGCCGCCTTCCCCTTTGCCCTTCGACCCAGGAAGCGGCTCAGAGCCAGCGGCCACTCACGGCTGCCTGGAGCTCAACCCTGGCCTCCGCGCCGGTCCGGCCTCCCCGGCCTCCCCGCCTCCGGGCCGGGCCTCCACCCCCAGCGCAACTTCCCGCTCCGACGGCGGCGGGGGAGGCGGGAGCGGGCGAGCGGCCTGAGAGTGGCGCAAGGACACTCACACCGAGGGTCATTTGCTCTTTTTCCCCCGGGTGGCTAATTTATTTTCGAGCCCGGGGAGGGGGAGGCGGGGCGGCGAGGGCGCTCCGAGGGGCTGGGCGAG